GGTACAAACCAAGGTTGATCTAAAAAAAAATCTGCTGGTGCACAGATTGAGCTGAAAGAAGCAGTTCACAACTAACATGAATAAATATTGTGACTTTCTTTGTCCTTTTAGGACAGCTGACATGCTCATGGCTCAGTAACATCAGCAGAGGAGGAGATCCTGAGAGCGCTGTAAAGATGCGGTGCTGAGGTGTGAAATTTTTAGCAATACTTTGTGAGATCAGGGATCTCACCAGCACTCTTTGCTTAATTTCTCAATATCTTGTTTTATTTATTTTATCAAAGGAGCTACCTCCCCATATTAGAAAGCTGTCTTAGTAAAATGCCACCTTCTGCTTGATTTACATTGCAGGCATGTCTGTAATGTCTGGCAGGCATGTCACATCCTTAAGTTCAGTGCAACACCAACACACACACAGCAGTTATTGAAACAGAAGAATGATGTCTTACAGCCGACACCATCAATGATCAGAACTGCGTGCTGCTGATGCCTATACCAGGATTCTGGAGATGTCAGCAGAAGTGCTCAGCCTTCCAGCAGGAACAGGCCATGGAGTTGCCGTGAAGCCATCCCAACCTGAGGCACCTCTGAACTACACCAAAGTCTTGGCCATGGCCTTGGGGCAGGGACCCACCATCACAAATGTGAGCAGACATGTTGCGTGGCCGTGTCTGTTGTTTGGAAGGCCTGGCAGCAGGGAGCTGTGTGTGAAATAGTCTTTTAATACCCACCCCTGGAATTCCAGACGACTGCTGGTTGGGGCCATAAAAATGTCTTACTCCCACCCAAAACACCTCGGAAATGGGTCTGTGACTTGTAAATCCCTGCACACCCTGGAGTGCCTGGCTGGCTCCTTGGCTTCAGCTATTACAGAGGAGCTTTAGTAGCCTGGCTGCCAAAATAGCCTTGAAACAAAACCATAATAAAAAAGAATCCTTTTTATTCTATGTTGTTTACTGGATTCAAGGCTTTAGTGGTCTGTTACTTAAGCTTGCTGCCTCTGCAACAGAACTGCTGGAAACTCTTTTCTGACACCGAGGTCTCCAGCTGCAGCAGCATCCAGAGCAGTGTGTCTGGGCAGGCTTTGTTGGCAGGAATTCTCCCTGGTAAGGAAAGAAACAGGGAAACTGACTGGAAAAGGTGAAAAATAACTTAGCCAACCAGATCTTGCTCCTGTTGCTATTTGGCTACGTTTTGCAAGCCAATATATTTGCTTTCCATATCCTAAAGTGTGGTTTTCTTCCTTGTTCTCCAGAGCAGTTCTGAGAAGAAGATTTTGTTTTGTTTTGTTTTCCCAAGATAGCAATTAACAAAACTTTTATTCTTCTTTTCACACCGTTCCAAGTATTGTGATATGAGGGCTCTCTCAGGAAAAAGAGGACTCAGGAAGGAATGATGCAGCACTGTGTGTGTCTGAATATTAACTTGAAGCAGCTTTATGGATGTAAAGTCTATCTAAACTGCTCAAGAGTTCATTTTTTCTAAGGGGGTGTCAGGATTGATGTCTGATAGTTGGCCTGCACTGGGCAGTGTGAAGGTCATGCTGAGCAACATGAGCACGCCAGGAAAGGCATCAAAATTGTACAAAACAAGCTTTGCATTGCCTTTATTTCAGGTTAGCATCACTGGGAGCTGCAGTTGCTGGTGGCCTTCCTTCCTTACAAAGATAACCGTAGACTTTGATCCCAGCAGAAGTTTTCTATCCCAGGATGTGGTGCAGAACTGATGGATACAGGGAGTGATGCAACTCATTCTTCAGCCAGGGCTTTGTAGTATCAAATGAGAAGTTCTCTTCCCCTACCATCACATCAAAGAATTTCTTTGGCAAGAGATTTTTAATATCTGCCCAGAGCCATGTGATTTCCTAGGGCACTTATATAAAGCAAGGAGAAGGCTATTGGAGAATATCCACACCAGCTTTTTCTAAGAGTGAGAAAGCTGTCCAGTAATGGTTTAAATCCCAGGTAAATGGCAGAGCAAGTCTAATAGGTGCATCAGCTGGAAGCAGATCAGAGCAGACAGATAAGCACTGAGAGCTAGGGCCACACTACTGACCTGTAAAGAAGAACCACAGGTGTTTTGCAACACTTGGAAAAGTTTTCAATATTTTCAACTCTTTGAAAGAGCAAATAACAGCAGGACAAGGGGAAATAGTTTTAAGGTGAAGGAGGGAGGATTTAGGTTGGATAGCAGGGGGAAGTTCTTTACCAAGAGAGTGGTGAGGTGCTGGAACAGGCTGGCCAGAGAGGTTGTGGATGCCCCATCCCTGGAGATGTTCAAGGCCAGATGGATGGGGCCCTGGGCAGCCTGGTCTGGTATTAGATATGGAGGTTGGTGGCCCTACATGCAGTGGGGGTGTTGGAGTTCCATGAGCCATGTGGTCCCTTCCAACCCAAGTCATTTTGTGATACTGTGAACACATTTGAAACTGTTCTTATCTTTTCTTTCTTTCTTTCTTTCTTTCTTTTTTTTTTAAGAGGTATTGTATCATCAACCTTGTAGCTGCATATGTTTCTGAATGAAGAGCAATAAAAGTAAGAAATAGATATCTGGCCTGTCTTCTTCAGAGATTAATATAAAGAAAAAACAAGCATGCAGTTATTTCCTTGTTTAACCAAGTGGTTGGAACTAAGAGAGCAGTGTTTGTAGCTCAGCTTTTCATCTACCCATTCTTTCCTGCAGTAACTGCAGTCCCAAGAGAAAGTAGAAGATGAAGAAACTGTCAGGTAGCAGCTGCAATTACAGGCACTCAAAGTTATCATGCTGTTTAAAATGTTCTCCAGCAGACTAAGAGGGGTCTTGTGCTGTCCTGCCGGGTTCTGGTATAGCTCCAGTCATTTCTGCTTAGAAGTAGAGATCTCCTATTTCAAAAATCTCCTGCATTTGAAAACAGATGAAGAAAGCACACCTCCATGGTATCTAACAGTTACAAATTAGAATAAAGTCATCAGGTAGGTTTCATGATACTTTTAGGCTCTAAGGTAGCATGTATCCATTTACCAAGAGAGTGGTGAGGTGCTGGAACAGGCTGCCAGAGAGGCTGTGGATGCCCCATCCCTGGAGGTGTTGAAGTAAAAAAAGCTTGGAATTGTAACTGGCAGCTGAAATTTAGCTCATTGGAAAATAATTCTGCCTGCCTACCTCTTCCTGTTTTTGAAAGCTTCTGCTCAGAAGTGAAGTTATGGTTTCATTCCCAGCTGTTCCAGGCTTTTTGGACAGCTTTGTCTACTGTAATTGCTAGGTATATGTCCCTTCAAATCCCACTTTCTTCTCCCAGGCTTCAGCCTTCCCAAGCTGCAGGTTTCCCCTCTGCAAATTAAAAAAAGTAGTAATACAGGGACGCTAACATGTGGAGCTCAGAAGAGATTATTTGCTTGATTTATTGCATGGAAAATGACTTAGCACACATCAAATTCCAGCTTCTTCACTACCAAAGATGGGTAGAGGAAAATGTTGGTAAATCCTTTGGCTAAATTAAAGTAAACACAAAGGGATGTGTTTTTGTGTAACTTTCCATTCGGCTCTTAAACTTCCTCACACAGATGTATTATTTAAGTCTTGCAGTAATATATTAAGTACGAATATACTAATTCATGTATTGACAATGTTTATAAACACTGCTTATGGCTGATTAATTTTATTGGAGCATGTAAGTCATTTTGCTCTTAATTAATGGTAGGAATAAGCAGATTAATACAGAAGTGCTTAAGGTCCTGTGGTGCCAGGGTTAGCCTCTGTCAAATCTTGATAACAGTGAAAACAAAAGCTGAAATTGATCAACTCTTCCTTTGGTTTTGAGATGTTTGCTTACATTTCCATTTCCACTGAACATGACACAAAACACACGTCAATGTGTGGCGATGAGAGTGATATTATACAGCTCCATTGGTGCTTTGAATTTGTATGAGTAGAGCTTAGAGCACACTGATATGGCATGGATGCTTTGGTTTGTGGCCTAGGGACTCAAGGCCAGTTTGGCCAAGTGGGGTTGCTTTTCTTTTTCCCTTTCCAGCTTGGCATGACTTACTCCCACATGCTTCGCTTCCAGTAATTCAACATTTTGTTCCTTATTTTTGTTGTTTGTTATGTAACTAGAATGTTTTCAAACATTTGCAAGGATTATGCCTGAATTATACACATTTTTGAGCAGTTTGGATTTAGTATGATTATACAATGTGATGTGATTAGACTCGTGGCTGTTCTGAATTCTGAAGGCCTTTGGCAAGCAAGCCTTGCAGACATCCCAGGCTGTGCTAATTTTTAATTAAGCTCTATTTAATCTCAAATTAGGTTTATGTGAAATTGCTATTTATTTTTGAACAGTTTTAAATGAGATGCAGATGTGGTGGTAGAGAAGCACTGAATTTAAAGGGTGATGCTTTGCACCAGGCAGGTTCTGCACAGGGCATGTTTTCCTTAACACTGAGATCAAGGTTTGGGATTCAAGTCTCAGTTCTTCAGCATACAGTGCTGCCAACCCCTGCTTGTGCTCATAGAGTTACTCATTATCTACTTTTCTGATCAAACAGATGCTAAACTTGACACTAACACAGAAAACTTCATTAGGAGCCCTAAAAATCCCATGACTGGGACATGAGGTAGCATAAACAGAACAGACGGCAGGAGGTAGAACATAATTGCAACTTGTTTTTGTTAGTTAAAGATGAGCATGTGTGCTTCTTTCATGGCTTTGTTTCTGTTAGTAGCACAGAACAGGGGGCTCCTCTCTGCCTTGTGAAAATGGGTTGGTTATTCCATGCCTTTTGATAGTGATGCACTGGGAGTGCTTCTAAGGGCTCTCTATTCACAAGTTTCTTAAATCTGTTCTCCTTGCCATGCGAGGAGAAATGTCAGATCTCGTGTTACCCTTTCCAGCAGTAGCTATGGGTAAAGCAGCAGGCTCTTTGGAGGTAGAACTGTGGGCTACAGACATGGAATGCTCTGATAGAAGGAAGTAATCATTATGATAGGTCATCATTTTTTCTTCTCTCTCCCATCAGGATCTCAGCTCTTTTGCCATGCCATTCTTGGACGGTGATGTGGAGAACGCAGACAAAAATGCTTCTCGCAAGGTAGGATATTTCCAAACCTCCACCTTCACTGTAGTTGCTGAGTCCCTTGGTGATAGCCACAATTCCTTGGAAAAGTCTCAGACTTTTAATCTTTCCTGCCATTTAACCACTGAAAGTGATATTCTCAGGCAAACACTGTGACTTCTGCAGGCCTTATCATGACAGTGCTTAATGCTATCACCTGCAAAGAACGATAACCTCAGTTCCTTTAGATACCGGAGGTGTGTTGTATAACACTGTAATTTGATGGAGTGATATTGGATTACTGTATTCTCAGGAAAACAGCTGCTAAAAAGTGTGGTGTTGCTACAGAAGTGCAGTGCCTCATGTTCCTGGCCTCATAATTTTCACAGAGCTTTGACATATGAGTTGATCTGCTAAACGCAGATGTCTTGCCAACCAAGTTACAGACTTGGTGACGAGAGATACCCTTCTGAACAATAGTAGATATCTCAAAAGTTAATCTGTAGTTACACAGCAGACTTGTGGCAATATTTACAAGGATATGGACCTTTCTGTAGGGAGGCCATTTGTCAGTGAGTCTGCAGTTATAGTTCAAGGCAGGTGAAACAATAAATATCTCCTTGGTGAAGCTAATCTGCATCTAGAATGATAATAAGTTAACTGCTGACAGTGTGCATCTCTATGACTTTGCACCTTGTGGCAAAGTTGTTTTTAAAAAAAAAAACTTCTGCAATCCGTCAGTAACTGAATATGTTTATAACATTGGCCTTGTTCTTTTCTGTGCTGGACCTTTTAGGGCTGTGATGTAGGAGTCACTGACAAACACAGGGCAATTCCTGTAGATGCCAGGGAAGCTAAAATACAGTGTTACCAAAACGCTCTTGTTTGGTGGGTCTGAATAAAGTGGCCAATATGATGACATGCTGAAAGAGTGCAGGTGTTCCTAACTGGATTTTTCCCAGGGAAAGGTGAAGAGGCTATATGAATCTTGATCCTGAAGAAGAAGATATATCAAAGCTTGTCTTGCTCACATGTAGTATTTTGTGATACTGTTAAACAAGTTCAGTTTTACCATTTATGAACTCCTTGTTTTGTCTCTTACCAGTCTTGGAACAGTTTCTTAATGAGTGGTTTTCTTGGGAAAAACTGGAAGAACATTAAAGTAGTCACCCCCTTTTGCAGTTTCATAGAATCATAGAATGGCTTGGGTTGGAAGGGACCACAAGGATCATCAAGCTCCAACTCCTTGCCACATGCAGGGCTACCAACCTCCATATCTAATATCAGACCAGGCTGCCCAGGGCCCCATCCAACCTGGTCTTGAACATCTCCAAGGATGGGGCATCCACAGCCTCTCTGGGCAGCCTGTGCCAGCACCTTTCCACTCACTTTGTGAAGAACCTCCCCTTGACATTGAATCTAAACCCTCCCATCCTGAGCTTAAAACCATTCCCCCAATGTTTTTTGTGAATGCTGTTTGTTTTTTTTCCCCAAAACTTGGATCAAGTTCTGCATGTGGGAGTGTGGATTTTGAAATAACAGTGCAACTGGGGCTTCCATCCAAAATGGTTTATTTATCTGACATGTAAGGCCTTTTACCATTTTGTTGCACGTGTTGAACAGAACTCACTTCAGACTAGCTGACAGTGCCCAATTTCCAATCAGAAACAGATCATCAAATAAAATTTATTGCAGCTCATCTTAAATAGCATTTTTCTCCTTAATGTGAAGGATAGGATCTTTGTAGTTAGTAATTGATGGCCACCATCAGATTGCAATATCTTATTTAATTTAAAAGTTTTCCAGGTCCTGCTGGTGCAGTATAAAGAAGTTCCCAGTTTTTACTGTTGTCCTTCATGTAGAGTGGGTTTCCTTTGTCCAAGTCTGAAATCACAAAGTGTTGTGTACCTTTTGTACACCGTAAGTCAGTATTTCATCAGCACCATGACTTTTCCATTCACCAGTAGTTTTGGAGACTGGCAGTTAATCAGGGACATCCCTCTTCCTTCGCTGAACTCTTCTGTCAGATGGGCTATATGTCAAGTCAGAGAAGAGTAGCTCACAGCCTGCCTTTCTGATCTGCCATTAATTTAGTACCACTGATCTTTGTAAAAACCTTTTAGAAATTGTATTAACATTTTTCACCAGGATTCTCAGCACTTCAGTGTGTGAGTGCCTCTCAATCATTATCCTGTGACAGTAATCCTCACTTTGCAGCCAGGAAACTTAAGTGCGGAATTACTTGTTCAGATTCACATAGGAATTTTTTGACAGAGGTGGGAATGTGTCACATATTTCCTCAAGTTCAGCCTTAATCACTTCTCACTGCCATGGTTATTATTATAACCGATGTATTTTTCTTTCCTTTATGACCTGAAGGAAGGAGGGGGGCAGAGGTGGTTTTGACCTTCCTCTGTTGAAGGCAGACTCTTGCACAGAATGTTTGGCACAATGTGATGCAGCACATCTTGTGTCAGCTGCAGGTATTCTGAGACTTTTTGTTGCCTCACAAAGTGCTTTAATACTTGTGGTGGCTTTGTCTAGAATAACTGGTATTGCTGATTGCCCCATATTCAAACTGAGACTCTCCAGAAATTGCATGAATCCTTGAAGGAGGAATGGCCTCAACGGGATCATTATGAGATGTTTGTTATAAGCTATAGATGGAAGCTTGAAAAAGAAGTATGCATTGGCTGTTCTCTGCATGGTGAAGAAGTGGATGAGATGTTTATCTTATGTGATAATGGCAGCTCTATCTCATGAATGGCTTAAGTGTGTGTGAGATGGAAGATGCTACAGCTAAACCCCAGCAACTCTGATAAAACAGCTCCAAACGGATTGGCAGGGCTTTCTGTGACCAACTAGTGCTAATTTTGAATAAATCTTGGAGCAGAGATGAGGTTGCAAAAGATTGGGAAAAAAGCAATTATTTTGTTAATATTTACAATATCTGCAATTAGGATAATTTGCAGATTTGTCAGCGTGACATTACTCCTGGGTAAAACAGTGAAATATCTAATGTTGGATAGTTAATGATGCTATTATAGTAGACTCATTTTGATTGGAATTAATGGCAAACAGTTCTTAGTGAGCAAATTTGGGTTTTCAAGGAGATTATAAATTTGGTTGGAAAATGTAATGGTGTTGGTGTCCTGTATATAAAAAAGAAGCACAAGACATTTAGATTTAAGAAAGTGGATTGAAGCTGAACAGACATGGGAGCCTATTAAAGCCTGGATGATTAAATGAGTTGGGACTCATCAGTGGAAAATTTTGTTTCTAGGCAGGGAAAACATTGTGTTGTTATACTGTCTGATACTTTATCAGTAACTTGAAAGAAATACAGGCTCATTACTGATACAGGGGGGAGAAAGTAATAAATTCTGAGCAGGAAACTCTTCGGTGCAAAATGACCTGAGTCACTAAAACACATTTTGCAAGTAGTTCAGGTTGTCCAAATGGAGCAGTTACACCTGGGAGTAGACCTGGGTGTTTGGAAAGTCTGCCACAAAGCTTGGTTAGATTTTGAGAATAGCTGTAGATAATCAGCTGTATGTGGATTCTGGATGTGACACCGTGGCTGAAGGATTACCTTGGTTTTTGGATGTGCAAACAAAGGAATAAGGCAAAACATAGGCTTTGTTATGACTGCATTTGTCATCATCCCACAGTGCTGCTGCCAGTAATGCAGGACGGTGCTGATGGGCTCAGACGAGCACTTTGTCCTGGTTCTGCTCCCAGCATTGTTTTTGTTTTGTGCAGTGACTCATAAACGGTGGAACAGGGAGAAGAAGCAAAAAATACCCTATTTTTACCCCCTTTCTCCTTCGCTGGGTAACAAATCTCCTTTTGATCTCTTTTTTCTCAGCTTTTAATTATCCATTTCTTTGTGATCAGTGAGCTGGCCTCAGCAGGAAGGACAGGCAGTGTGTCCCAAGCAGACAGGGGGCACCAGCAGTGGATGCAATGAGGCTCAGAATGAGGACATAAGTGACAACTGCTGCACGGCCCTGCACTGCTTTGCCAGAAACACTTTGCATTAGGAAATGGAGCCTGGAGCCATCCTGCTCTCACCTGGAGTCAGACCTGCTCTTCCCTCCTTGCCCTGCTTCTGCCTTTGAGCAGACCTGCTTGCTGTGGGAAACCTAATCCCAACCCTACAGCCATGCCAGGCACTCCGAGCCTGCCAGATCAGCCAGCCGCATCCCATTGTATTTTAATTTGGGAAGTGTCATTGGGCTTTAATTTTGGGAAGTGACATCTCTGATCCTGTAAAACACGTTGTCATCTCAATTGTTCTTGCTCATGCAGAACCGAGGGAACTAATGGGGTGAATGTAACCACATGGTGCCCAGGAGAGTAAGTCCTTCATTACCTTTTGGTCTAACGAAGTCAGCTCTTGTGATTCTGTGAGCTCTTTTATTCCACCATAATAAAGGAATCATCCAATTAAGTTTATTAAAGGGCTTCTTTGTTGAGATTCAGCACAAGGGCAAGAAATAAGTGCAGACATCTATCTCGTGTGTCGTCCTTAATTGTGCTTACTGTCCCTGACAAGGGTGGTGGGACGTGATTTTTGCCTTCTGGATTTTTCCAAGCAAAGAAGCAAAATTAAGGTGAAATAAATCACTGCTTAAAAGCATAAAAAACTCAAATGCTTCATAAGTATCCTAACTACTTAGAGCTGGAGAAAAAGGAGCAGAGCTCAGTTGCATTTAATAACTTTCATGTAAATTCAGAAACATTTTGAAGCTTTTAGACGGTTTAGCTTGAGCCCATTCACATTCCAGACAGGTTTTAATTTGGTCTGTTCTGAAAATGAATCTAAATTCCCCAGCGACTGAATCAGAGATGGAGATTTTTGAGGGATACTGAGCTGTGTAAGTCCCATGGCAGACAAGAAGGAATCACTGCAGGAGTTGGTCAGCACAAACAGGGAAGATGGCACATCCAAGGAGAGAAGAATTTGTCCAAATTTGGAAGAAAAGTGGAAATCCAAGGAAGTGCCTTATCTTCATGTTTCTTGAAGCAGGTAATGAAGGAATCCTCTGAAGAAGGCTGTGTACCTATGAAAGGGCCTGGGGAGATGGCTGCAGTGAGGTGCTGCAAGGGATGAGGACAGAAGCAGGGTTCCTTGGCTCTGGCACAGTCCACCTATTAGTGGTTGGTCTTCTCAGCACAGCTCATTTATTTTTCTGTCCATGTCTCTTTGGCAGGACTCTTCTCTTCCTTGCAGTTAAGAAATCCTTAAATTTTAAGTTGTCAGCACAAATGCCTTCTTATAGAGGGCTACACTTTGCAAAACAGAAGAGGGATTGGATTTTCAACACAAAGCATGGGAAAGAAAAGGGCAATGTGGAGAAGATTTGTGTGTATGAGTGAGAAGAGGCAGGAGTGAGATGGATTTTGTGTGGGTGATGAGAGAATGGTTTGCAGTGAAGTGTAAATAGTTTGGTCTCAGTGCACTGCAGTGGGGATTACCATATGGTAGTGATTAAATGTGATGTGTTTTAATGTATCTTGTAAAGCAAGATGAAGAATTGCAAGTTAGGTGAGAAAACAGTTGAAGTTTTCTCACAGTTTGAAGAAGAAGGGAAAGATGCCAGGCTATTGTCAAAAAGAAGACTGTTGGGTGGAGGGACAGGAAAATCTGGATGATCTTCAGGACAGGTAATTCTTAACAGCACGAGATGCATGGTTGTACACCTGGAATGCAACTAGAGTAGCAGTATGTAATCTAAGGGTTGTGGTCCAGAATGGGCTTAGGCACAGTCCTGCTGTAGAGCCAGATTCTCGTACCCACTGAAGCAGAGTGGCCATGTGCAGTCTGGTTTATGCTGGGATTTTGTCATTGAGGAGTACACTGAAAAATGACAATGAGAAATGAAGATGCAGATCTGCTGGTCCATCAGTGGAAGGCTCTGAGCCATTCATGTGCATTGCTGTGAGAAGGGAAGAGGAGGTTAGGAAGAGAGCCGTGCACCCAGGTGAGATGACCAAGGAACTATGAGGATGCTGCTTCCTGAGATGGAATCTTCCAGAGCTGTCCAGCTCAGGCAGGTACCAAGCTATCGCTTTACATTTCATTCAGGAAATTGAAAGCGGGTCTCCTAGATATAAAGGAGTCTAAGGCACCTCTCATTTTATTGCTTTATTTTCAACAGCAGCCAATTCTAGATATATTTTAGGAGCCTGACAAAGATCATTCAGTTTGTAAAACAGAGCAGTTTCTCCATGGTCCCCAGCTGAGGATCCTTTTGTGCTACAGAGATGGCAGCCTTGCAGCATTTTTGTCTATATTTACTCAGCACTATGTAAGGTAACTGGGTTAACCTTGAGCAACCACAGCAGCTCATACAATGTACCATGGGTGTCTGCTTGGCTGCCCAGCCTCCCTGGGGAACGGATTGACATAGGTAGGGTTGCATTTGCACTCATGTGTTCTTTTATTACACTCCTGCTGATGTAGCTTTATTCCAGCATCTCCATTCCCTGCAGACCTGTGCTCAGAAGTTGACTTTTCCTTGTGCCCACCTGTCTGTCATAGCTTCAGGGAATGAATCCAAAACACATTAAGAATAGGCTGATGATCCATCTAGCTGTGCTGCCTTCCTCCAGCACTCCTGCTGGAGTCATTGTGCAGATGCTGCATGGGTTGCTACAGTTTATTCCACAGCAGACATTCTTCTGCATTCCCAGCTGATGCATGGACATCAGTCATCTTTTAAAACTCGCAACCATTGGCTTCAATTAAGATTCCAAGAAAGAAATACTAATATAACTCCCAAAGCAAAATCATAAGTATTTATCCTCTTTGTTGGTGGGTGTAACCTGTGTGTAATTAATGTGTGGAACAGCTGCAGAAGAATTTGTTGTAGTAATTTCCTTTCATTTAGTAGCATGCAGATGTGTATTTAGCAGCATGCCCCTGGTGCTCTAGCAATTAACTAATTCATCTGCCTGGCACGATAGAGAGAAAGTAGTGGGTTGTGATTGCAGCAAAAGAAAACATCCTGCTGCTTCTGCTCAGAATTGGAGAACGATTTGCTCCATGTCTGGCTTGTGCGTGCAGGAGAATACTGATGTTATTTGGCAAATCGTTTCTTGAGGATGCGAGGACAGCAGGGACTTTTGAAGGGTCTCCTACTGGTGTTTTGTTATTACCAAGTAAGCATGCAAAATAGATACATGAAATATTAAAGGTGGCACCAGAAGGACATCCTTCTCTTAGCTTTACAACTTCTATGGCTTGTCAGTTTAGGAAAAAATGATAATGAAACTACATTCTTGGAAATAGTCTGAAATTACAGAGGTAGCACCGGATTTATATTGCAATTAAAATGAACTTGAAAACATACTTCTTGCTCCCAACTTTCAGGCAGTAGATTTGGCAGCAGATCTGGTTGCATTGCAGTGAGTGGAGGTGCTGCTGCACTGCACGGTTGTTTTGTGGGCTGCACAGCTGGGCAGAGAACACTGTGTAGGTAGTCTCAGGTGATTTACAGATGCTGTTTTAATAAAGTTAATGAGCTTTCATGAAGAAGTTTCTCTTAGGGGCTATTTACCTGTAACAAAAGTGGAGTTTATTAATTTATTTATAGTCTGTTAATTATTCCAGGTCTCACTTGAGGGACTGTGCTCGATTCTTCTTGATTCACCATGAGATGGTGTTTGTGCCAGAGGACGTGGGGTGGCACTGAAGGAGATTTGCAAGCCAAAGTGACCTGTGTTTCATGATATTGATCCCAACCCCTCCAAATTAAGACTCAGAATGGAGTCAAGGCGTTGACTGAGCAAGAGCGTGTCTTTATTAAAAGATGGCAGAGTGAGAGTGGAAAAGAAAAGAGAAGAAAAAGAGACACTGTATTTTCTTCTCTGATGAATACTGTCAAGAGTCTGTTGTTGCTTCTGGTACCCAGTGCTTTAGTTAGAATTGATTTATCCTTTCCAAAAATTTCCCCTCAAGGGCAACTACTCCTATAGTCCTTCTGCAAAGGCAAAGGTAGTAAGAAATAAATATGCAAGGATAAAAAGCAGCTGAGCGTCTTGCCAGACATCTCCATGCTCCAGCTGCTGACCCAGGCTGCTGGTGTCCATCTCTCAGACCAAATGCCACCAGCCTTTCAGGTTGGAAATTTTCCCAAGTGAGGAACCACTGCAGGCCCTTCTGTGGTTTCCACACAGCAAGACCCATCCCAGCTTTCATCTTTTCTTTCATCTGAGGGCCATGAATATGATCAAGAGGCTGAAGCCTCTCCTACAAGGAAAGGCTAAGGGAACTTGGCTTGTTTGGCTTGCAGAAGAGAAGGCTCGGTGAGACCTCATTGCAGCCTTCCTGTACTTGAAGAGAGTTTAAAGACAGGAGGAGGTGACTTTTTACATGGTCTAATAGTGGTGGGACAAAGGGGAATGGCATTAAACTAACAGAGGAAACATTTTGGTTAGATGTAAGGAAGAAATATTTTACTCAGAGTGGTGAGGCAGTGGAACAGGCTGCCAAGAAAGCTGTGGATGCCCCATCCCTGGAGGTGCTCAAGGCCAAGTTGGATGGGGCACTGGGCAGCCTGGTCCCATGGAGGGCAGCCAGCCCACTGCACGGAGTTTGGAATTTGATGATCTTTGAGGTGTCTTCCAACCTAAGGCATTCTATGTTTCTGTGATTCTAATAAATATATTATTTTCCCTACCATTCCTCCCATGGCAGCAACACACTTACCCAGCTTCACTGACATATAATGTGCACCTAGCAGACAGCAGTTGTTTAATGCTCCATACATACATGCATCCCTTTTGCTTTGCATATTGGGAGCAAGGAGCAAGCATGCAAAGGACTCAAAGCCCATCACACCTCATGCAGAAGGCAGCGTGCTGTGCCCATGGGCACGTGAGCCATGGCCTTTGCTTCCACTTTCACTGAAGACCTGAAACCCACTGTGACTGATCCCCAGGAACAGTACCCTTAATTCATGAGAAATGACCCCAGCTAAAAAGGAAGTTTTGTGCCCATAGAAGTATTTTGTGCATCCAGGAGGAAATAAACTCTGCATATAGTGCAGGTCTTGGCCAATCCCACAATGGTGTAGGCTTCTGTTAATTGCATGTGGGAATAACTTCATCTTTGCTTCTTTTTTTTGGTTTGTTTTTCTGGGCTTTTCCCCTTCACCTCTCTAGGTGAACCTGCACAGTGCAGTGCTGTGTTGTGAGTAGATACTCATGCTAGCTGTAAAGTCAGCACAGGTCACTTAAGAGACAGAGCTGTTAGAAAGGTCATGCCCAAGCTGGAGGCTGGGCTAATTATCTGTAACAGTGCCACTCTAGAATGGTTGCTCTATTCTGGGACTAGAGTTTAAACCCCTATGGCAGTGTCCAGCGCTGAGAACTCATGCTCTCTGCTGTGCCTCATTGTGCAATAGAGAATTCAGTACTACAGATGGATGCTTAAATGCAGAATGGAGGCTTCAGGGTGCTGTGTTAGCTTAAAGGAGGTCATTCATTGCCCTTAATAAATTTATTGCCACCCACTTTTCAGTTTTCTGGGGAAGGAATGGGAATGTGCTGCAAATAAACCTGGTAAAAATTATCCTGCAGTGTATGTGTGATAATAAAGTTCATGCACATAGTTTTAAATTCTTGTGAAATTCAAGACATCTTTAACAGCAATGAGCCCAGTGAGGTGGCACACAAACATCAACATGGCAGTGCAGGCTGACACTGGGGAAGGTCTGGCTAACCCACAGCTGGAATAAATAGAAGTGAGCGTGTTGAGACAAGCTCTGAAATGCTAATGGCACAAACTGAATTGAATTAATGGTGATTTCTCTTTTTCTTCTTTTTTCTCTCCTCCTCAGGTGGAAGAAAGCTACTCTGCAGGCAGTCCTTCGAAAGGCATTTTCTCAAAAGGGCTCCAGAACCGACCTTCCAGCCCTGTTTCTGCCCCTGTGAGATCCAAACATAGCCCTGGCTCACCCAAAACTGTCTTCCCCTTCCCCTACCAGGAGTCTCCCCCACGCTCCCCACGTCGAATGAGCTTCAGTGGGATCTTCAGGTCCTCCTCCAAAGAGTCCTCCCCCAGTTCTAACCCGTCTACCTCTCCTGGGGGCATCAAGTTTTTCTCCAGATCAAGAAAAAGTAAGAAATTGCTCATGTTATTTCAGGAAGATACACAGTACCTCTGGGCTTGGCCCATTCTTTACCTGCGGTAGTGAAGTAAGTGCAGATGAGGCATGTGCTAATTGTTCGTTATCGCTTTCACTGACTGTGTTTGGGGTTTTGTCTGGCAAGTAGGGAATGACTTCTCCAGGACACCTATACAGGGCTGAGGAGGGAAATCACGCATCAGAATTTTGCTTAGAAATCCTGCTTCTGTGGCACAGGCAGTTTCCAAGCAGTTTCATCAAGGCTGGTTGGACATCAGCTCCCAGGCTCAAGAGGAGTGGGAGCAGTCATGGGGCTTGGGGTGGAGATGGGCACAGAGAGGATGTTGCCTTGAGAGCTCAAGGAGGTTTGCTATGGTAAACTCCACAGAGAATCATCTCATTTTTGGGTGAAAAAGGGGCCTTGACTCGATAGTTATAAATGATATGTTTCCAATCAAATGACCACTAAGGGAGTTGTTTGGGCTGCTCTGCTAGAATATGAAATCATTCTTGACCTCCATGGTTCAGAGCAGTTGCCTGCTTTGTATTAGGAACAAATTTGGCTTCTTCAACAGCCCATGCGCCAATACAACATTTCTACAACTCAGAAATAAGGAAAGCTGAGAAAAGGTTTTGATTTCAATATTTTCTTGTTGAATGAAGATTCCCAGTGCCAATCTACAAAGAATCTACGAAAAGTTGTGGCTGCTCTGCATTGGGGACAGTGGCTGTAAGAGGAGGATTTGGTTATAGGGGAAAGAGAGGAATGACTTGGTGCCACTGAGGTTGTTGGTTTGTCAGAACACAGTGTGTTTTCCTTTCAGGGAACAGAAGAAATAGCTTAAAGGTAATTTTTTGGCAAACCTTCTGAGACAACGTAGGGACAGAATTAATGATGCACATACCCAAGTTTGACTGAGTGTTTACTGCAATGTATTGATAGCTTTCTGTGACTTACAAACTGCGAAGAGGCACTTCCTTTTTCTTCAGCAAAATTTCTCTTTAAAATGTAGGTTTTAATCAGAACAAAGAATTTTTTCATTACTTTTGTGTGCATTGACACAGCTATACAAACCCGTAGTGGATTTTTCTTTTAGTTGACCAGAAATTCTGCTGCGGCTCAGTTGAGATTGCATCTGTCCCAGTCTTTCCCTCTCTCTGAAGCACCATTAGCAGACTGAAAGAGCCAATGTTTCTGGAGGATTCTGAGTGCACTGCAGGCATCATTTCTGTTCAAGGACATTTTTTCTCCTCTATTTAAAGTTCAAACCCGCTTTTATGCACCTCTCTGTTTCAAGCCTCATAGTAATTAAAGTCCATTTGAGCTCTTTTTGCTGGTCTAGATAGGCTTAAGTGTTGCACAGGCAATAAGCTGCTGATTCAGTGCACCAAGAAGAGCTCTCTGCTGCAAGAATAACAGTGAGACACAGCTCACAGCAAAGCCATCTTGTGACATTTTAACAAAGTAATCCCATCAAATAGCACCATTTAAATTTTATCCTAGCTAGGTACATCAGAATATTAAATAAAGGAATCTTTCAGTAGTCAGCAAAATCCTTTTGATAAGGTCACATCACAGGAACAGGCTTGGAATGGGGCCATGCTATTTTTGAGCCGACGGAAGATCCCCATGACCCTGCTGCTCCAGGGAGGGTTGCAAGGAGCTGTGCTGGGTTTGGCTGGGTTTTGTTGTTAAGGCAGAAGGAACTGCCTCTTGTAAGGATGTGATGGTTAAATTGTGTATAAAAACAATAAACTTGTCCCATTCTGCAGCTTTTTGAGGAGCAGCATTTCATACCAGGTGCTTTCACATCGTTCAGCTCGCTGATGGAGAGGCTGGTGCAGACACATGTGCCTCACTGTCACATTAAAGCAGGTTTTATTCACACTGTGCTTAACACTGGTTGGTGATGAATTACACTCTTAGGATTTACTGTATTTGATTGATTTGTCTTTAATTGTGTTTAACAAAACCTTTACAGGACTTCACGAAATGTATGAAAGTTAACATTTCTGTTGCATTGTTTAGTTTTTCACAGACCAAACTTTTACATCCTGCTACTTTGCAAAGAAAGAATAACCCTATGTATTATGAAGCACTAACTTAATTGGTTAAGTCCCACTCAAAACAGAGTCTCTGTGTCCTTCGCAGCATTTTCTGAGTGACAAGGGTTCTCAGTGGCTCCTAAGCCCAGAGCCCTCAGCTCTGTGCAGATGCTGTGCTGCAGAGCTCTAAAAGCTAAAGCAACACATGGCTACATGTTTCCCAAGGTATTTGAATGCTTCGATGATCAAAATTGTCACATCCTTTGTGATTAAAATCCCATTTTCTCAAGCAGCTTGGGATAGCTGTGTTAAAAGTGAATGGGTCTTAGGCTGCTTTATTTCTTCTGAAAATGACAGCGTGCTGAAATCACATGGGCTTGCTGTTCTTGCCTGCCCTTGCAGCCGATCAGCTCTTGGCACTGTGTTAGCACTATTAAAATGAAAATTACTTGCATGCTGGGCTGCATTAGCAGGAGCATTGTCAGCTGGCTGAGGGAGGTGATTCCCTTTTGCTTAACACTGCAATGCTGGCTCCAGCACTTGGCTCCACTGTGTGAGAGACAGGGATGTACTGGAGTGAGCCCAGTGAAGGACACTGGGTTGGTCAGGGGCTGGAGTACAGGGGTAAGGAGAAAAAGAAGACATTTTGCTTTCATTAGTTAACTAATGAGGGGCGATGGAGATGGCAGAGCTGGGCATCTCAGGAGCTCACAATGAAGGGACAGGAGGCAGCAAGGGCAGCTGCAGGCAGGCATTAAGAAAAATGTTCTTGGTGAAGGTGACATAGCATCAGAGCAGGGGACCATGGTGATGCCTTCTAGCAAATCTGCACTTTATCCAGGCAATCTACAATGGAAAAAAGCACTGGGTAGAAGTCCACAGGGTTAGTAAGGATTTTTTCCCCAACTTTACCTGAGTTGAATCCATTCTACACCCCTTTTGCCTGTCATCTTGGAGCAGTATGTGTGGGAAGTGTATGCCATCTCTGCTGTAAATAACATCCCCCATCTTTCCTCTGCTTCATCCTCCCACACCTTGTTCAAAACACACACCAACCTGTTACTCTGTGTATTCCTTGTTTTTCTTGGAAGCAACCTCTTCCTAGCTTGTCTTCATTTCAAAGACCATGTGTAGCATTTGCAGTGTTTTCTTTCCCGTGTAGCTGTTCTTTTCCCAGTGAAGGTATTTTGCCATTCAAATACACACAGTTTATATGAACTGTTTGGGTAAGACAAAGTTAGAACAAAAAAGTGATCTGCAGACACAAGAGTTACAGCGTTTTCCAGTTTGATGTAAGGGGTTTCATGCAGTTTTTTAATATTTTATTTTGCGTTTTGGTGATAGCCAAAAGCTCATCTTTGGGTCTTTTCCTTTTGATTTATCCCAGTTCAGCATTCGGCCCTAACCTGTTGACTCTGACCTCAAAATCCGTTTGCCTTGAAAAGAAAGATGCCTTCCTGCAAAATGAGCTGCTAGATGTTTGCAGGGAAAGCTTTGTAAGAGCAAACTGGGGGTATCGGTGACCAGTGTCCCACCTTGAAAAGCAGCAGATGCTGCAGCCACCGTGTTCCCTCCTGCAAGGGGCTCAATGTGGTCCTTATTTGGGGGAGGTGTGCACATCCCAAAGCCAGCTGTGTTCTGAGGGCAGAGGTTTGGATGTGGGAGGTGAGGAGCTCACTACCTGGCATTGCCTGCTGCTGAAAGTGTAAGCAAGTGAGCAGCCGTGGAATGCTGAGCAATTGCATTCTGGTTATTTGTAGATGATAAGAAAAAAATGAGCAAACGAGAATTTTCTAATTTTAGAAAAGCACGTGTGACGTGTAGCTGTCACAGAGCTAACACCAGCTCAGCACAGACAAGAACAAAGAGCAAATATGTGGGTGCATGTTCAAGTCTGAAGCGCTGTGAAAAGTAACTCCACAACATTGGTGTTGTGCAGCTGCTGTCCAGCTTGTCGTAGGCTTGCTAGGACACTGCATTAATGGCTCTCAGGACAAGGAATGGTTTTAAGCTCAAGGAGGGGAGATTTAGGTTGGATGTCAGGGGGAAGTTCTTTACAGAGAGAGTGGTGAGGTGCTGGAACAGCTGCCCAGAGAGGCTGTGGATGCCCCGTCTCTAGAGGTGTTCAAGGCCAGGTTGGATGGGGCCCTGGGCAACCTGGTCTAGCATTAGATACAGAGGTTGGTGGCCCTGCTTGTGGCAGGGGGTTGGAACTTAGTGATCCTTGGGGTCCCTTCCAATCCAAGCCATTCTATGATTCTATAACAAATAGGCCCTGGTGCTCCAGAGCATTACTGAGTCTTGGCTGTTTAAGCTCTGCTAGCTGTGAGTGCACACCCCGAAAGAGAATGCATCTGGTCTCTGGGTGAGATTGCATGAGTAGCTATGAAGCTCAGGGAAACAAGAAGTGGCACAAGTTTTCTCTCAGTACTGCAAACTACGGTGATCTGAAGAAAACGTGGGAGGATGATCTGCACTGCAAGGAAACACAATTCACATTTCATTTTTCCGTGGTTTTGTGTGAGTTTTTTCTTCAGAAACAGTATGTTCTCACTTCAGAAACAAGACATACAAATAAAAGAGGAGAGCATTCTTTCACTGACCAAAAACTAGGGAGCTATCCCTGTAGACATATTAACGTCAAGTACAATGAACATTTTATTAAAAGCACATGGTTGTAGGAAATTTAAGTTATTAGAAATTGAACTTTCTACTGAGGGCTGAACGCTGTCTCTGAAAGGCAGCAGAGCATTTTCCAGACCTGCTTCCCCTTCCAAAAATACCAAGGTGACAGCAGTAATCACAACACATCGATGGCGCTGCCAATTTTGCCAGCAAAGGAAATCAATTAAAAGGTTTCCACTGACCTAAAGCTTTGGGCTGTGGTGGACAGAATCAAAACATAAATTAGCTCAGGATTAAAGGTTGTTTAATGAATACTGTATC